ATATAAAAATATATTTTTTCGCCTTTTCTTAAGCTTCAGGAGAGAAGGAAAAAGTCATTATGTGCTGTGAAGCATGCTAACGGTGGAGCAGGTAAGAACAGACAAGCTCGGTATTACCTGGATTTCATCTCACGCTCACTCATGCTATCTCTCTTCCTATCTCTCTCTTTTCTCTGGCAGTTTCTCCCACTCTTTCTGTATTTTAATGGCGGAGGGGCCTTGGCAGGCTGTGATTGCTTGATAGATAGATATCTCCCGCTGGAGAGGGGTACATGGAAGAGGAGACGGGGGCTGAGGATGAGGTGTGTGTTCTGTCGTCCACAGGGACAAGGAGCTCTGTGTGTCTGTGGAGGATGATGGATTACATGGGGGCCACGGGCTCGTGTGTGTGTGTGTGTGTGTATGTATGTATGTATGTGTGTATGTATGTATGTGTGTATGTCGGCATGGTCCCCTCCATTGCTTCGCTATGTACACAGTGAAAGTATGGCAGTGAATTAATTTCGGCAGCTGGAAAAGGTCATTAAATGAAACTAATATTTGTGAATGGGAATCCCCAGGAATTAACTTCAACACTATATACGCAACAGTGCAGTGTTCTGGCAGTAAACTGGAGCATTACGTTGTATTGTGGACAAGAGCACAGGTGGCTGAGCACACCGGCATACGCTTGGCCTTCTGTCAGATTAAAATGAGTTGGGAAAAAAAATGCTTTGGATTAGATATGCCTGCGTGTTCATGATGGTCATTTCATATGTGACAGTTACATATATATTATCTTCATCCACCACTGATGAAATGTCCTTGCCTCCTTGTTCCTGACCGTCCCTCTGTCACAGAGTGGGAGGGGTTACAAGGTCAGCCAGCTCTTCCTGTTTAATTCCATCCCAACGATGAGCTTGGGCAGCTACTGATCCACCGTATTCATAGAGACATCCAAACATGAGCAGTGAGTGTGTGTGTGTGTGTGTGTGTCATGTGATACACAGATAAAGCAGGCCCACAGGGGAAGACAGAGTGGCCAGCCACAGCACTGCATCTGTCACCAACACAAAAACCACACCAGTCGCCCAGGAACAGAAGACAGAGAGCTTGAGTGTGGGGGAGACCTTATCATAGCTGGACACATTCCTAGCAGGAAGACAAAAGAGGCCAAATGAACCAGATCACCGCAGCACGTGTGAGCAATATGTATGAGTACGTGAATGTGTGTTTTAGTGTGTGTGTGTGTGTGTGTGAGAGAGAGAGTTTGTCAGTGATGAATAGGAGTTTAAGGACCTACACCTTACAGATAAGCGAAGAAAATCATCAGGACCACAACAACAATTGCTACAATGCAGGCTAAAAGAAATACCAGAAGAGCCCCCCAGGCAAACATCAACCTCCTTCAAACACAACGTAGAATGATGTAGAGGCTGAAGATGTCAGGAAAAATATTCCGTGATACACTCTTTGCCTATTTGTTTATGAATTAGTGAGGCTGAATAACTACAATGTTCTGGAACCAAATCATTTATCAGTGAGCTGTGTGTCAAGATATTCTCAGCATGTACTGGTCCATGGGCGGCGTAATTGCTTACTAATAGTCACATCTTGATTGAGATGTGAAACAAACATCAACAGGCTTCTTTTTTTTTTTTCAATTAAAGCATAATATACTTAAAAATGTACTTATTTTACCATAATCTTAAATTAAGTCAAATGTTCTTCTTTAACATTTCTTTCCTCAGACATATCTTCAATCAAAAAAAATGTTGTTTAAGATAAATGTAGCTCAAAGAAAAATAATATTGGCTGATTCATCATTATCCAATTCTAATTATGCTCAAAAAATGATATCAAGACGAGGTGCTTTGTCTTCCCAACATAGATTCTGACACCACAACTTCAGATACAGAGTACAAATATCCTCTTTTTACCAAATCTGTTTACCTCACTGTGTGGATCTCATCAGGATCAGTTTTATGGAAAGGAATACCGGAAAACACAGAATTTTATGACAATGAAGAAAAAATCTGCACCCATTCGATCCCTATACAAGACTACAATATGAGTATGTGTAGTTTACTTTGCTGCCTCACAGAACACCACAAACTCTCTTTCTCAGTAGATGAGCTCCCATCCTTTCGAGCTCAGAAGAGGAATTTGCTGGATGAGGGAGCACATCTCTCCGTCATAAGGGACGTTGTTGCATTTCATTAAGGATAAGATTCATCACAGCAAGCAAACAAGAGAGCTGTGCAAATCGCATTGGAGAAATTCCTACACTATCCTCAACAACGTCTCTCACACAGACACACACACGCAAACACAGCTGATATCCAAAAGGCACAAAGCAAACAAAAGCTGAGACCACTGATTCAGGACACAAAGGGGTACATCAAGGATGGTGATACTATGTGATTGCTCATTATCGTGCCCTTCAAAATGACGCATTACTGTGTCAGTGGTAGGAATAGCAGCCGGCGTTGAACAATGGAGCTGTTCCTCCTTCAGACGCCTCGGCATGTGGGGCATGGGCGTGCTCGCCCGGTCAGAGGTCCAGTGCTCTGTCTGTGAGAGTGAGAGGACACCCAAGGGTCCATTTTGGAGATGGCTGTGAAGCTCCAGCTCTGACCCTGGAAAAATGGCTCAGATAAGGCCTGTATACAGACCAATTTAACAGGTCACAACCCTGTCTCGGCGTGGGAGCGACACAGCGGGAGTGTGTGAACACAGCCTCGGGGGATCTGTCCCATGATGAGATACTGGTGATATAAGTGTATCCCCGACGCTGCAGCAGTGGCTGTCAGCCTGTTGATTCACAGCTCCAACAACGGAGGCGACGGGGACAAAGTCAGGTTTTGTTGCTGGGACAACATGTGATTATATGTGTGTGTGTGTGTATTTGTGCGTATATGTGAGTGTAGTGGACAGCTAGTAGAGCATTATGTGCCCGAGGCTGGCAGACCTAAAGAACAGTGAACAGAGAGACACGGAGACAGAAAGCTGGGGGCCCTTATCCACACTGAAGTCAACAGCTGCATATGGGACTCAACAGATCTATTCATGACAGATGCACACAAGTGTGGACACACACACACACACACACACACACACACACACACACACACACACACTTGGCACATACTGGACAGTGGCCCGTTTGTGGCTCAGGAGATAAGAGGGATGCCATGCAAGCTCTGCGAGTTACAGTGTGGGAGAGCCAAGGGGAGATGTTACCTCACACTACCAGACAGTCCTGTCCTGTGTCTTCTGGTGTATTAAACACAACGATCACATCTGTCTGCTAGAGGCAGCCCGCTTGCTCTAGTTGAAACAGCCGACCGAGCGTGGGATGGAGCTGGAGGTGCATATAAGCGATATTAGATAATAGATGGACTTCAATGAAAGCTTTGATATCGATATAAACAAGCCACATTAAACAGAAGAAAGAGACAGAGACAAAGGAACGCGGGAGAGAAAGAGTGCGAGAGAACAACAGCGCTGAAATATTTCCGCATTAGAGAGAAAGAACACAGAGTTCTGAATCACAGAGTGTGTCCCTGGAAGAAAAGCGTATATTCTCTATATTTGAAGTCACATCTTTGTGTGTTAGCAGAGAATGGGCGGTGAAGAACATGAATTGACAGCTTATTTTACAGCTCCAGATGGAAAAAAAACCTAAATAACACTGGAAATATTTTATCTGTCTGTCTATCTATCTATGAACTTATATATATATATATATATATATATATATATGAACATACGTGTATACTTTAATTTGGTTGAACCTTGTGCCTCAACTCCAACCAAACTTGGAAACTCTACTAGATGCCTATAAATTTCTGAACATGAAGCGCTGTCGTTGTTCAGCCGATTGGGTCCTGTACTTTGGCAGCTGTGTGGACCCCTCTCTGGCCCGGACTGGTCTCTCTGGGAGAGGTCAATAGCAGGGACTTCTGCCAGGTGGCAGGTTGGCTCGGGCTTAATCGATACCCGCCAGAGGAGGACAGACAAGCAGGGCAGGCAGGTAGACAGGCCGGCACAGTAACTACCAGCCAGAGATAAAACTATTCCTGGTGGGGTTCACTGGCCAACTGCTGAGCCTGCGCTGTGACGGAGAAACTCACGCTTCAAAACGGTTTAGGGGATTGATTTGACAGCTAATTTACAGAGGAGATTTGCATATGGACATGCACTAATAAGGCAGGCTTTTCTCTTTCATCCTGTGTCTTTCCACGCTATATCTTCCTTCTTTTTACACCTCAGCAAATACGACGAGATAATGTAAGCGAATTAAAGAGACAAGACATTCAAATTGGATATTGATTAAGAGACTAAAGCCTTGTGTTTTCTCCTGTTAAAGCCTGTGTTTAAATGATTGATTCACAGTGTCACTCTCCACATCCTACTGGCTGTGTGTTGAGTTGTGTTTGCGACCGGTTGTGCCTCTAAGACTCCAATGGGCTCACATCATGTCACAGCATGCTAAGTGCTTTGACACAGACACACAAAGAGCCCTGCCTATCTGATGCCAATCTCCTCAGGTCTTGGTGTCACCCAGGTGAAGGCTTTCAGAGAAAGCAAGGACAAAGTCTCCTCCTCAACAGCGCCGCACAATGCAGCCTGACTGACAGCAGAAAGGACAAAATGGAGCTTCTCTGTCAAGTGGATGTTAAAGTCGTGGGAGGAAAAGGAGAAAAAAAAAGGATTCAGGGACAGGTGCATGCACTGGATCTACGGAGAAAATAAGGATGCTTTCTGCCGGGAAGTCACAAGATTCACTGTCTTAACACAGGCTACACAATACACATGAATACTTATCACTGCCTGTCACAGGCTCGTAAATGTTTGCTGTCCTTCAACTCTCTGACGGAGTAGCAGTGCTCGCACGAAAAATGATTTATAACACAAAAGGACGTGCTTACACGATGACTGCCCCACAAAAGCGCAGAGCCTCGATATGCTGACACACAATCTGTCTGTGAATTAACACTCAACCAGTTGGAACTTACTGTTCTTCTCCTTGAAGATTCTGAAAATGGGGAGGATTTGTCTGAAGTATGGCACCAGAGCCTCTCCCACGTTGTCACCGGACACCACCAGATGTTTCAGGACTTTCAGCATGATGCACATCACCTGATGGTTCTTTGTGTTCAGGGCCTCTGAAGAGCAGGACAGAAGGCAAAGATCAGTCGGTGAAAAGGGGCTACAAGGTAAAACTGTCCATTTTCAGATCTGATTTGCAGGTTGTTTGTTCAGGCAGGTGGAGGTACAGTAAGCGTGGAGTGATTCTGACAACTGCAATTATATGGTACATAAGACAAATTACACATAAATCGTAACTCCCACACACACACTACCTTCCCCTTGAAAGCATTTCCTTTACAGCTTGGCTTTGATTTACTGTAGACTGGCTCGTCTGCGATCAGTGATTTCAAATGCACTGGGGAGGCAGGAGTAAGTGAGAGCCAATCACTGGGCTATTTGGCCTACAGCTGCACTTAACTCCATCTCCCACTGATAGAGAGAACAAAAGGGAACGATGGTGGGAGAGATGGAGGGCTGGAGAGATGAAGAGAGACAAATTCAGAGAGAGAAAGAGGGAAGGGGGTAAAACAACAAAAGACAGAAATGTCAGAGAGAGAGATGAAGAGATGTGACAGGCGGAGGGCAAAGGGTTAGCAAATAACTGTGATTAGCAACTAAGACAGATATTTTTCAAGTTCTTTATGCTCATGCTTGTTTGTTTTTTTCTATGTGAGCTTCTGCACGAGTGATCGTAAATCCCCGAGCAGACTGTCAGCGTACCCAAAGTTAGAAAACAGGCCTGGGCAATTTATCTCTACGAAACCTTTAACTGTCAATTGATGCCACTTTTTCACAAAAAGAGGATGGTAATGGCACCGCAGCGCCTATTTTGCCAGTAAGCACTTGCAACAATAGAATTGAAAAAACACTCAAAACATAGAAAAGAGAGTGTGAGCAGAGACACTGGGAACTTGTGGTTGACAGAGCAGAGAAAAATGTGTTAAAATGTGAGTGAGAGATGTAGAAAAAGAGAGGGAAAAGAAGTTGAGAGGTACTTGTTGTAGAAAGCCTGAAACCAAAAAGCTGAATCAGGCTACATTTTTAATATGACAAAAAAAAAGTGTTTAGAAAATGACCAATGGAGGTATTATAATCAAGTGTTTTCTCTGCTTTTGGTTTTGAAGAAAATAAATGAATTTGCTGAGTATCTGCACTGTCTCACAGATACATGGCAACTAATTATATACTAATTTAGTGAAACCTGAAGCACTGAAGTCTGTTGAAACAGGCTCAGCTAAACCTAATGCTCTCGCTGCCTCTTTCAATTCTTCTTTACTCTCTTGACACCTGACTTCGTAAGCGAGCTGGTCACATAAACTCTCACGGAACAAATGGCGGCGAAAAGGACTGAAAAAAATGAAAAATAATGAAAGGCGTTAACTCTTCAGTCGTGTTGATGACAACAATGCTTGTTGCCACAAGTAAAATAAAGTGTCAAGCGACTTGAAGGCAATACTAATTTAGTAGCAATGAACAAGGCAGCAGTCAAATACGAATGAAGTTATACAATGTAGAAGTCATATCAACAAGTGGCTCATGAAGGGATACAACATCTTGCACTTCATCATATTGCAATAATGCAATTTTGTGCAGGCGAGTATGTGTGCATGTGGGAAAATGACCAGTTGTACCAGTTCCATTGTTTTGTCTGCTTGAGAGTGTCTTTGTCTCTGTCAGTGTGTGTGTGTGTGTGTGTGTGTGTGTGTGTGTGTGTGTGTGTGAGGCCTATACATTGGACCAGCAGCAGTGGAGATGATGCTGAATGAGCGAATGTATTGTGCTCTGTGCCATCTCTCCATCTCTTCTCTGCCTTAGTGTCTCCCCAGATAGACAAGCGCGGATATATCGGCCATCACCGAGATAAGGTGGAATGTGGAATGACAGGAATTTCAAACCTACATAACAAACAATGAAATTCTAATTACCAGCTAGCGCAAACAATTTCCCCTGCTGTGACATTTGGACCGCGGGACTGTTCAATTATTCATCGCCACTCTCGCCTCGCCGCAAAAAAAAAAAAAAAGGAGGAAAGGAAAAAAAAATTAAAAGAGGCAGCCGAGGGCTTGATATATTAATGCTGGTATAAAACCTGTGTTGGGACAAATCTGAATAAAGTAATAATCTATTCATGCAAGGACCTGTTTCATATTCAGTGTGGAAATAAAACAGATGTGACCTTGTATTCTGTTTCCTGTGAAATGTCAGAGGTAGGGTGACACGTTGGAGAGTTTAGCAGTGAATTGTTCTCACTCATAGTATAAATATACTTTTCAGATCAGAAGGAGATGTTCCTGTGCAGAGGCGTAACTGGGGATCTTCTTGTAATGAAAGTCTCATTTTGGTCCAAAGCTGAACAAATGTTATGCCAATCAACTGAGGCTCAATGGAGGCATGGCTCTGAATCCTCCTCCCTATTTAAGGCAGCCAGAAAAAAACAAAACCACAGCATTTCAGTAACGTGTACCCTTTCTTCTTGAGTCTCCGTGTTTAGCTGAGCAAGACATTTTTGCCTTTACTTCTGAAATGTCAGGGTGTCGTAAAAAAAAAAGTCTGCAATTTCAGTTTTTGGATTATTTTACCAGTGGATACTTCCAAAAAACACATTTTGAGAAAAGACTAAATGTACTACATTTCTTTTTTTCATGTATGAGGTAGAGTTTCTAACATGGGGGGGAAGGGAACAGGGTGTACAGTAGGAAAGAGTTCAGTCTTTAAGTCACTGAGGACTGCGCCTTAGAGTATAATGTCATCCAGAGCCTCCTTCATTGTGTATTCTCATTGGGTGACCTGCAGTCATCATCAAAATTCACCAGGGCCTGACGTGAGTCAGTCGCTCTGCAGATAAGAGCCTGCCAGCCACATTGAAGATGTATTAACGTTAGAGGAGAAAACTATATATCTTGCCATTTTAAACTGCAGACGGCTTTTTACTTTCTTCCTCTTTTCCCACCATCCCTCCTTCTTCCTTCTTCCCTGCTCCATAGAAAAGTAATTAATCTGCAACAGAGACACGGACTGGCGGCTTTGCCTTGTGGATGGAGAAACAGGCTGGATTTTTAATAAACCAGGAAGTTAATAAGGAGCAGGCCATTTAGAATTCCATTATCAGTGCGAAGTGCGTGTTTTCATGAGGAGCATGACCATCACCTTTGGTCTGGCCTCCTCAGGGCAAATGACCAAAACTGCTGAGGGGTTTGAATTTATAAACTACTGCCTAAGTTAGCGAGTGGCGAGCGAACGGCTAAGTGGACATTAGGCCGTCCAAATATTTAAACTATCTGTGAAAAGATGCTGGCAAATACGGTAAAACTCATGTGAACACATAACAAGATATGTCACACTGTTAGATGTGTAATGGTGAAGACTTTACAGTAGGCGCTCAGAGCAGTGTGTAGAGAAACTTTGTGCCAGGGTCAGTCTGTCACTGTGTCTCCGTCAAGCCCCTCTGCCTCCACAGACGTCCAACAGTCACACACTAACATACACGTACACACACCACCAGCCGACTGCCTGACATGAACACTATCCCAGGCTCACTGGGCGCCACTTAAAGGCTCCCACTTTGAAACTGACACTCCACTTGGCAACAGGCGCCAAACAAAAGACAGTGTGTGTGCGAGTGTGTGTGTGTGTGTGCGCGCATGTGTTTGTGTGAGACTGTGTGTCTGTGCAAGTGTGCTGAAATTTTCCAACAAAAGCGACACTCTAACTTCTCTGTACCTCGATCCTCCTCCTCGTGTTTACCACACAGGAAACCTTTACCGCCCACATCGCTGACCTGACCTTTCAGCCCATCTCCATCTGCCAACTTGTGAGCATGCGAGAGTGTGAGCGTGTGCACGTGGAAATGTGTCCGTGTGGAAAGGTAAGGAGGCACACCACGATAACACATTTAAATGTGGCACGTCACCAAGTTTGCACATGGCAGATTATCAGGCATGCTTTTAGAGTCAACCTCTTCCGGGAAAAGGAAAAACAAGGACGCTTCGCCCTGAGGGCGAATGTAATAATAGGAACCGTATGACTGCGAAACCAAATTAGGACTTGTCACCGGACTGGTTGTATGGTAATGTCAGAATCTGTTGTAGCGCAAGTGTGTAAGACAGGTGAGTCTATTCCTGGTTAAGTATGTTGTGCTATTTTGGTTGCACTCTATTGCAGCTGAAATATTGTCCGAGAGGTGTTTGAGAGTGCCATTGTCTGTAATTATTACACAATTAAGGTAATATAATTTAGATATAGATGCATATTAATATTGATTTAAAAAAATAATTTTCATATTTATCATCTATTTTCAAGCAAGGTCCAATTTGAAAGAATGACAAAGGACTCTCTTTATGATATCTCATGTTAAGTTACCTAACATCAGGTTTCCTCCTAACTACACTAGGCCTTTTAATTAATCGTGTGAGTTATTATCTTCTGATTTATTTCAGGCTCCAGCTCGCTATACAATAAGCAACTGTGAATGTCCTCTGGACCCGGGGTTCATCTGAGATCAGCAAACAAAAATTGAAATGTAATGATGCTGTCATCAAAACAGTAAAGCTGCAACTGAACTCAAACTGAGAGAATTACTTAGCTGTCAGCCGCTCATAAAATAATAATAATGTTTAACTATAGAAAGGTTTGTAAATGAATAAGACAGTGGGAACATTTTGCTGCTGAAGTTAATTGAATAGTTGCTGTATATTAGTGATTGAAAATGGCTGTGATAATGGTCCTGTATTATGTGTTATGTATTCATATTTAAGAACTGAAAAATAATGTTTTTTCTCTTCTCATTTTATAGCTATGATCTTAGCATTTGTTAGAGCTTTATGGAGATATGTTATCAATACTCTAAGAGTAGTTAGGCTGACACAATACCAGCATTTGTAAGGTGTTTCTTCAGTCTTGAGATAACCACATTTTCCCCTCAGCGGCAGAGGTCACAGTGAAGGTGAAATGATATCAACACACACAGGGTCACTTGGGAAGGGAGCTGTGCTGTGTGTGATTTGTAAACCGTGAGAGTCGACACTCGGGCCACACTTACTCCTGACGGGGATGATGAGCTGGGGGATGACGGGCAGGATCTTGGGGCCTCCGTTGTCCAGCAACTCATGGACTCCCTGACAGGCGAGGAACTTGTACGGATGATCAGTCTCAGTTAAGCCATCGAAGAACAGAGGGAGGTAGTAGTTGTAGTCCAGCTTCTCAAACTCCACCTGACGACAGAAATGACTATTTACATTCCGGGTATTATTAGCTGCTTCTTTGATCCAGAGAGACATACGAAGACAGAGGGGGTAGAGTTCCTGTCCTGTTCTCAAGGACATTTGTTGGAACATATGGCTGTTGATCAGGACATTAGCTAGCAACAATCTTTTTGTTTACTGGACAGTCCCTCTACGTACCCACTACATCAGAGTTATAGCAGATGAAAATTCTCGTGTTGTCCAGAAAATCAGTCACGGCCATTAAGCTTCCTTTCATTCTTTGCCCTTTCTCTTTGTTTGTCCTTGGCTTCGCACAATATCAAGGGCTAAAGCTCCTCTTGCAGCCATTTATAACCCTTCGAGTAAACACATACATACACACAATGGCAGGGGGGACAGCTGTTCAGGAGATCATGACACAGCGGCATGTGGCATCTTGTGGGCTGACATGTTAACACCTGTTTACACCATTTACAGGACAGACAAAAAGGCACACGCACACACACACACAGGTGGTAGATTAAGACATTCGTCCAGCTACGGGCCACGGACCAGCTTTGATGTTTGGCTGAGTGTGTGGGTAGTGTGTGACACATTAAAGTAAAGTCAGTCATGTGTGTGAAGCCATCAGAGGAAAGCCACTCAGGCACACTGGATTGCAAAGAACAGCTGACCCAAAGCAGGCTGTCCTTGAGCCATGTGTGTGTTCTGAAAATCTTAAAAAAGGTTGCATGTAGCCATGGCTCATGCAATATTGGTTTGTACTAGATCTATCTACAGAGTGTGGATATCCAACAGGGGTATCAGCTGTAGCACTGCATCCCAATGGCACTATTGTTGAGAGAGGGGTTAGAGGTTGAATGGGTGATTCTGTTTTTCATGTAATGAAAGGAAATCCCTTTGGTGTGGAGAAAAATAGCCCCCGGCAGCCAGCAGTCCTTGAGGACAGCTGAAGCCATGAGGAGACACTCTCTTGTCCACACACACACACACACACACACACACACACACACACACATACATATATACACACACAAGCATCCTGCTGGGTCACGCTGGTCTGTGCTAAAATGTCACCCAGGCAGTGGTGCTTTCAAGTCCCCAGCCCTCGCTCAGCCGCCGGTCAGAGCCGATACTTCAAAGCAGGGCAAACCCCCCCCCCCCACGGGTAAACACAGAGACGGACAAGGAGAGAAAAAATATGGAGAGATGGCAAGATGGCGACAGAGACAGAGAGCTCACACTGTCAGCGCAGAGAGAAAAGCCCTGATTGCTTTGAGGCAAATTGCCAGCCAACCTTGACCTTTCCCTGCGTTTGGTCAAGATCATCGTTGTGAGTCAGGCGGACTGGAGACTAGAACAAAAGCAAACATGAGCCCAGTGAGAAGGGGAGCAGAGGGAATGGAGGGTTACGGAGGGTGAAGAGAGGCGAAATGACACTAACGCACAGCACTGCTTGCTAGCCGATGGCAGTCAATGACACACAGGGACAGATCGTGCCATACAGTATGCTGCTTTCAGATTCATTTGATCTAAATTTGAGATAATATTGGTCAGTGTGATTATACTTTGGGATAGGAAAATGCTGGTCATTTAATACAGTAATTAATAAGAGGATTAAAAATAATTCAAACGTAGAATGAAACATTGAGCTAAAATTGAGGATTGAGGAATTAAAAAAAATAATTTCACAACATCTAATTTAAGGTCTCACATTTAGGCACAGACACGCTCTCACCTACCCTGATGTAGACCTGAGGTGTTGTGGGAGTAATTACCTGCGAGCATTAATGCGGTGTTATTGTGAAGATGCCTCTGAACTCTGTGATACTCTTAATCCAAATCACATAAACAAGCAGTTAGGGACTGGCTGAAGATTCCAGTTAGCACTGAAGGAGTGGAGACAATCAGCAAACACCTTCACATACTCACGCTCTTACATAGTGCGCACACACACACACACATTCCCGAGGAATCTTAATCAGCGGCTGCACTCAGTGGTAACTCTTGCATCCGTTATTGATTGTCCGCCCAGGTTTGTTTGTCTTTGGGTGCCTATGGGAATCCCCCTGGAGTCCGAGGAGTCAATGAGAGTGGGGCAAAGAAAGTAGCAGCAATTAGCCTTGGGACACAGACCTGCATGTCTACCCTGGTCAGCGCTGCAACAGAAGCACATAGACCATGGAACAAGTCAGAGGAGAGCCTCTGCTCATTAAACTATACAGCATCAGAGGCCCCCCGACAGGCACAGGAGACCAGGAGGAACGAAAAACAGCAGGTTGCCAATTTAAATACACAATAGCTGGACATGATTTGTGTGTGGGGGTGTGTGTGAATACATGTGTGGGTGGATGGACTGCTCGATGTGTGTGTGTGTGTATGAACGCTTACATGCGAGTCCATATATTCCCTGTGTGTACACAGACATGCTAAGCTATTGGGCTAGTTTGCTAGTGTGGTGTGTGTCATTAGCCACAGCGTGAAAGAGGAAAACCTTGAGTGTGCACGTGTGTGTTTATGTGTGTCTTTTGGTCTGATTGTGGACTATATCAAATGTGATATGTTACTCCTCTTCCATTACATAAAACTGCATTTGACTGTTAAATTGTGGGTCGTAGTAGCTGGCATTGTAATATCATTGGTTTAGAGGTGTTTGTTCAGGTTGGAAAATACTTGTGTTTACATTTCTAAAGGCTAGTTGTGTTATAATTCATACATTTCTCCCTCCTCATCCTCCACCACCTGATCTAACAACGTGGGTGAGGGAGCTGTGGGTGGAGGTCAACTATCCTTTAATGCTCCATATTGTTTTACAACTGTGCATTTGAGGCCACAGACACTTCAAATCCACCAACTATTTGATCAATTCTCTTCCACATGTTCCATTTCAGTCACATTACTGAAGCTAAGCAAATTAGCTAGCGGATTTTGCCATCCAATCTTGGGTGCCAACCATTTTTAGCAACAAAAGCATGTCTCAGAGGTCATGCAAGAATCCGGCGGTATGCCAGCTGTTTGACAATGGTGCTATTTTCATTGATGATGCCATAATGACTTGACCTGGATTCAGCTTTCTGTTCACACAAGTGCAGGTTTCTGTATTTAGATGAGCTGGCAGATGAGCTGCCGTCAATTATTCCAGCCTTGTGAGAACAGGCTTCCTATTGGTGCCACTCACACTGTGAGTCATTCAGTCACTATGCCCAAACACACTTCCATTAGTTCTGCTGAAAATGTATCATAGAAGACCAAAAAGGAATGCAGGAGTCACATATAATAGCATGTAGACAGTGAGGCACGCATCTTGGAAGATTTTCACCCTCAGGAAGGAGATATGCATTAAAAGGGCTGTATGTTATGGGCACACAGGAAGCAGGCATGAACCAACAATAACAAAAAAATTAACAAAACATATGGCAGCAGTCCTGTTTCTGACTCCCAGGCTGGTTTTCTGTCCCATCTAAGAATCAATTACATGGTGCCGTAATTTCAGAGTGGCCCTTAGTTGAATATTTATGCCGCATTATGAGGTATTGAAATTATTATTTAGGGTGGAACAATAGGAAATTATAAATTTCAATTTATGTTTTAATTTTCTGGCTGTAGGGGCCAGGGCTGTTAAATTAAGGTAAAGGAAGCACACCATGAACCAATTCATTAAGTAGCAGCTCAAATCACCGTGAACAAGACACAGAGTTTGTGGATAGCAATGTCCCGCTTATTAATCTCTCCCATGAATAGTTTGCCTCTCCATAAAATGTATCTTTAGAATGCACAAACTGTACATGAAGCCAGCCTCCAGCTGCATTCTGTGCAGCTGCAGACATCACAGTTTGGACTCTGAAACAACTTGGCAAGAGAATTCACCACGTTGAGAAACAACAACGTCCTTGATCAAACATGCAAACAGGTCAGCCGGACGGAAAAGTTATTCAGTTCCTAGTTTGAGCCATTTGTTGAAGAGGATTTAGCTTTCAAAAGCAAAGTTTCAGCAAAGTGTTATGGTCATGATGTTAAGAAACTGATGTGTTCATGGAATCGCCTAAACCTTCTTCGTGGGTTGTGGAGTTGGCCATATCCTCAACAATGCCGACCTCACTGCAGGTTGCTGCTGACTGATGAGGTGTATCAGATTGTTACTGTTAATAATAAGGTGATTGAACAACACTCGACTTATAAATACAATATGTCTTTTATTCATCAAACTTGAGTGTCTTACAAATAAACTCAGGTTGAAGTTAGGTTCTGTAATATAAACAAATGCTGCTTTTCTTTTGCTGCAACAGAAAACTATTTTTTTATTGATTATCCTGCCTAAATAAAATACAATTACAAAAAAATAAACTTGAGCTCTTAAAATATCACTAAGCCCCTTTCTACATTCAGTGTTAGCTCTTCTAGAAGTTGTTAACACATGTTGACATCTCCTCATTAACTAAATTAACACAATATATCAGCAAAATAAGTACTGGACTTTATTGTGTTATCCTTGACAAACAAGCTTAGATGTAAATGTTGCTATTCATTCTCAACTAAAGTAAACTAAACCAAAAAAAAGCAGTCTGTGGCTGTTTCAAGATTTAATTTATTAGTTTGCGGAGATGCTACACCTCCCGCACACAGATTCAAACTTCCCTTTTAGGGACGCTTTTACGGTACAACCTCTCAAACATTTCATAAATTGTCATGAGCGTGCTGCACACAGCAGATACCAATACTTTTTTTTCCCATACCAATCCAACTCAGTTTCCAACTGTGCCACAGGTGCAAAGCACACCCCTGTCCACAATATTTCTAAAAAAAAATCAGTGACAATGCTGTGTGCACTCACTGTGGATACGATAAAGAAAAAAAAAAGGAGCGAAAGAACAGAATATTTTGACTTTCTTGGAGGTCACAATAAGAGGAGCAAGACTGGAATAGGCAAGCGATAAGTGAGGGAAAGAGGAGTGAGCCACTCTCGCTATCTCCCCTGACAGCTGTTTCCATCTGACAAGCATGCAAATATGCTCAATTCAAAGCAGTAGTAGTAGAGTGCAAAGTGTCAATTGAAATGATACCTAACACAAGCTGGA